CTTACTCAAAACATTATGGAGTATTTTGATTAGGTTTGGTTTGGATTGGTTTTGGTCTTGGGGTGGGGGTTCATTTAAAAATGTTTCTCAAAGGGATTGGAGAGATGGCTCATCAGTTAAGAGCACTGGCTGCTCTTGCAGAAGACCCAATTCCCATCATCCACGTGGTGGCTAACAACCACCTGTAACTCCAGTTCCAGGGAATCCAACACCTCTTCTGACCTCCACAGGCACTGCATGACACAGGTACACTTACGTACAAGCAGGCATAAGGCTCATACACATAAAATAAAAATATTAAATAATTTTAAGATTTAATTTTGTTTTTTAAAATATTTTATTATTTTTATGTGTATGTGTGTATTGCCTGCGTGTGTGTAAGTGTACCCGTGTCATGCAATGCCCGCAGAGGTCAGAAGAGGGCGTCAGGTCCCCTGGAACTGGAGTTATGAGCAGTTGTTAGCTGCCATGTGGGTGCCTGGATTTGAACCCAGGTCTTCTGCAAGAACATTCAGTATTCTCAACCGCTGAGCCATCTCTCCAGGCCCTAATTTTGTTTTTTAATTATGTATGTCTATGTATAGGTTTTTGCATGTTGAGTGCATGTGTCCTTAGATGCCAAAAGAGGGTGTTGGATTCCCTGGAACTAGAGTTATAGGCAGTTGTGAGCCATAGTGGGTGTTGGGAACCAAACTTAGCTCCTCTGCAGGAACAGTGTATGCTGAGCCATCTCTCCAGCCCCCTCCCCCTTTGGTTGTTGTGATTTTTGTTTCATTTTCTTTTTGGTAATTGGATTGTGTTTCTTAAGCATGAACTGAGTTGATGACAATGTCTGTTGCAATATTAAAAGGTTGGTTACCTGCTATGGCCACTGTTGTATACGGTTTTCAACCTAATAGTATCAGCTAGGAGATGTTGAGATGTGTAGAACCCAGCCTGACTTTCAGAGTCCCCATTGGGGACAGGTGGGAGGAAACAACTCTGAGAGAATGAGAAGCCAGAAGTGGAATAACCTGTTTCCTGGCGCCGACCCTACTTCCTACAGGCCTTGATGACTCTCTTCAGGATTATCCCTTTGAGGACTGGAAACTGCCTGGCAAGTACCTGCTGCAGCTCTGTCCCAGAAGCCTCGAGGCTCTGACTGTGTGGCCTGTGGGCCACCAGGAGCTCATTCTGGATGGACTTGAACAGCTCCGGGATCTGGTGAGTGAGCACTGGCCACGCTGGTGGCAGCGTCCACCAACCTGGGGGTTTGCCTGTTCAGGATGGCTGTTGCGGGAGCAGTGATATGCGTCCTTCTGATGCAGGGCTCCAAGCTACAGACAGAGAACCTGCAGAGCCTGGCTGAGGGGCTGCTAGAAAGGACCCAGGCCTTCCAGAGCTTAGTCCAAGGCCGTCTGGGGGACTGTGCTGAGACGCCTGTTGATGTCCTCCATGCTGCTGTAGAGCTGGTGCGAGAAGCCCGTGCTCTCCTCTCCTGGCTTAACAGGTACCAGGGATGGGGTGACTAGTGAAGGACTCTTCTTTTCCTTGGTTGCCAGGGCTTGGGAGAGAAAAACAGTATTTGGATCTTTTTTATTTTATTTATTTTAAAATTTTTATTTATCATTTTTCTTTTATGTGTATGCACGTACTGACTGCATGTAGGTAAGTGCACCCGTGTTGTGCAACGCCCACGGAGGTCAGAAGAGGCTGTCATATCCCCTGGGACTGGAGTTACGGACAGTTGTTAGCTGCCATGTGGGTGCTGAGATTCGAACCCAGGTCCTCTGCAAGAACAACCAGAGTTCTTAACTGCTGAGCCATCTTTCCAGCCCCTTGGCTCGTTTTTTAAAAATATTTCACTTATTTATTTATTTAAAATTTTTGATTTATTATTTACTTTATGTGTACAAATGTTTTGCCTGCATGTGTGTAAGTGCACCTGTGTTGTGCAGTGCCCATGAAGGTCAGAAGATGGTGTTGGATCCCTGAAACTGCAGTTACAGACAGTCGTTAGCTGCCATGTGGGTGCTGGGAATCGAACCTGTGTCCTCTGCAAGAGCAGTTAGTGCTCTTAACCACTGAGCCATCTCTCCAACCCCCAAGATTTTATTTTATGTGTATGTTTTGCCTGCATGTATGTAAGTTCACCATGTGCATGCAGTGCCTGTAGAGACCAGAAGAGGGCATTGGAGCCCCTGGAACTGGAGTTATGAATGGTTGTTAGCTGCTATGTGGGTGCTGGGAACTGGATCGGGTCCTCTGGAAAAGCAGCCAGTGCTCTCAACTGCTGAGCCCTCTCTCCATCCCCCAGAAGACAGCATGTGAGAGTCAGTTCTCTCCTTTCACCATGTGGCTGGGGATTGAGTGTGGCTTTGGCAGCAGTTGCGTTTACCTGCTAAGCCGTCTCCCCTGCCTCCCGACAGCTGTTGAATGGAGGATTCCCCCTTCACTGGCAGTTACTTGTCTATCTTACGGGTCCCACCTCAAATGTCACCTCCTCAGGGGAGCCTTCCCTGTATTCCACTCTCAGAGCTCATTTGCAATATTCATAACAGTTGATATTAAATCATTAATGCTATAACTGTCTATTTAATGGCTGTCTCCCCAGTGCCTACAATAGGGTCTGGCACGTAGTGGCCACAGGTTGAATAAATCTTATGCTAAGCCAAACCCACGAATGTAGGAATTGTCCTCAAGTCTTAGGTGAGGAATTGGATCCAGCACAGTCCCTTAACTATCCTTTCCCTGCCAGGTACCTCTTCTCCCACTTAAATGACTTCTCCACCTGCCAGGAGATCGGGGTGCTGTGCGGGGAGCTGGGCCAGGTCTTGCAGGAGGTATGATGACAGGGGCCAGGCTGGCCAAGGCCCTAGAGCTTTATATAGCTGGTGAATCAGACCAGGATCGGGTGTGAGAACTGGGCGAAGGGTTGAGCGAGCACAGGAGAGGAAGGCCTGCCTTTGGTATGGGGTGACAGGCCATGGGGTGGGGGAAGGCATGGGGTCTCCCTGGCAGGGGACACTTGGGAGGTTTGACATTCAGGGAGGGATGGTAAGGGAGGATGTGTGTAGTAACTTCTTGGTTCAGGTGTCAGTGGGATGAAACCTTGGAGTTGAAACTCTGAGGCTTTAGTTTTAGGTGGGAGACCAGTGTAAAGAAAGTCAGCGAGGGATGGTAGGGGAGTTCTCACCCTCACCCCATGTCCTCAGAAGGAAGCTCCACCCCTTACTAAAAGGAGGCCTCTCCCTTTTTCTCTCTCTCCCTCTTTCTCTCTGCTTCTAGGACTGCCCAGAGGCTGAGAAGGAGAGCAATGTCCTGAGGATTGTGAGTCTTAGGACCTGAGTGGGGAGGGATTGGGTATGGGGTCAGACTCTGCCAGCAAACCTGCCCTTCTCTCCCAGTGCAGCCATGTGGCAGGGGTCTGCCACAACATCCTGAGTTATAGCCCAGAGGAGCTGCTGGAGCAAACGGCTGTGCTGGAGCAGGTGCGGCTGGATGACCCTTCGGTGAGCCTCAACCTCTCACCTCTCCCTACAGACCCCCTGGCAGGCTTGCCTGAGCCCAGAAGCACAATCCAGGAGCCCCAGCATTGTCTATTGCTAGCTGTAAATCTGTGTTTAAGGCCCAGAGGACCTACCTGGGGGTCTCACCATTGCTGGGCATCTTTCCCAGGCCAGAGGGGCTGTGCCAGTGTGGCCCCAGGTAGTACATTCTAGCCCTGTGACTCAGACCTGGGATGGGTTCTAGAGCAGATTGAGAGATGAGAGAGAACATGAACTTTTCTGCTTTAGTCTTGATGAGTTGGGGAAGTCAGAGTTCCGTGTCGTCCATCCCCCCCCCCGCCCCCTCTCTGCTATGTCTTTCCTTCTACCTCTCCCTTCTGGAAACTTGCTGAGAATTTGGTACCTCAGAAATCAGTGACCTGCCCCCCACCCCCACCCTTGTCCCCTTATCAGACAACAGCAGTTGGGGCTAGCTCTGTCCCCAACTCTGCCTACTTTAAAGTCTTTGTGTTCAGTGTAAGGTCTTACCCACCGGCCCTACTGTACCCAAGCTTTGCTTGACTTAGCCTCTGACTCCACAGGGCCTGAAAATCCATACCACCAGCAACTGCCTGCACTTCGTGTTCCAAGTAAGCATCCAAGTCAGGGCCCCATCCCTCGGCCACTTCCAGGGGCTTCTCAACCTGCCAACTAAGCCAGCTTCAGGCCCAAGGAAAGCTTTACTCTCTAGATTTTATTCCTCATACCAGGTTCCCACTGGCTCCCAACTGCAGATCCTGCCTGGTGATGAAGTTGTCCAGATCAATGAGCAGGTGGTGGTAAGTGAAGGGGGGAGGGCAAGGCAGAGGTGACGGGTGTGCGAGGACCCCGGTGGCAGGGGAAGGAAGCCAAGGAGTTCGCCCCTTGGGTTGACCAGCTGCCTTCCATGACATGAGCCAACTCACCTAGGTGAGAGTCCCATACCTTCTTAACAGTCCACCCTGAGGACCTCTCTCTTGCCTCCACAGAGCTCAGTTAAAGGGGCTCCTGAGAGCTCCCTGGAGGTAGTGTTACATGAGGCAGAGCAGGAAGCTCCGAGAGGGCTCCAAGTGTGAGAGGAAGAGTTGTTGGGCTGCTCCAGAGCCTCCCATTCAGTGTCCCTGTCCCCTAGGTGGGCTGGCCTCATAAGAATGTGGTGAGGGAGCTGCTTCGGGAGCCAACGGGGATTAGCTTAGTGCTGAAGAAGCTTCCAGTGCCAGAGACCCCCTCCCAGGTATGTACCCCACGAACGCCTCCACATCCGCTCTCAGATTCTTGTGGTCAGCTCCATCACTGTCTCTGCTTGTTTCCCAGATGCCTCTGGACTCCCTGTGTCTGTCAAGCCAGTCACTGTCTCTGGTGCCACAGCCTCCCAGGTAACAAGCTCTACACGGGTGTGTCTTGGAGAGGGGACCATGGGCTCATCTCAAGTCCCCTTTTTCTCCCTAGGGTCCCATCTGAAGATCTCTTTGCCCTTGGCCTGCCTGCAGACCCAAGTCCTGGACCTGGCCCTACCTGGATAGGTAGTTTTACAGCCCTAATGAGAAAGTCATCTGAGTTTGCTCGATTGACCCTCCATACTGACATCTATTCCCCACAGACCTGGGCCTAAGCTTATGGACCTTCCCATTGTCTCCTTCCTCTGTAACAGACTCTACGTCCCTTGATGCTGAGCCCCTGGCCATCCCCCCTGCATCCCCAACCACATTTCCAGAAAAAACAGCAGAGCCTGTGGCTCCCTCAGAACACTTTGACAAGGTAAACTCAGGGGCTCAGCAAGGAGAGGTGTGGGCTCTAGACCTTGACCCTTCTCTGAGTTCCATATGGTCCTTTCAGAGTCCTGTCCTTGGTCAGAAGAAATCAAAAGGTATGAGCACCCCTGAATGGGTGGGGTCCCCCATATGAGGAGCTACACATGCATGCTTCCCACATGGGCTTTTCTGGAAATATCTGTTCTAGGGTCAAATAGACCTCTGCTTCCAGCCCATGCCTTCCACCAGCACTGTGACTTTGAACAAATGGCTTACCCTCTGATCTTTGGTTTCCTCTGTGTGTGTGTGTGTGTGTGTGTGTGTGTGTGTGTGTGTGATTTGTTCTTACTGGGGATGGCTGTGCACTCCACCATTGAGCTACACACCCAGCATCTGAGTGGAGCCACTCTACCTTATAGAACACACATGAATCATTCTGAGCTCAGAGTATTGGTTCACATAGCTCAGAGTACTGGTTCTCACAGCTGCAATGGAGATGTTCATGGGAGCAAGTAGGTTGGAGAAGGGAGAATGCCTTAACATCCTCTCATCAACATGCTCCCCTGTGTCGCTGCAGGCGTGGCCACAAGGCTGAGCCGCCGCAGGGTGTCTTGCCGGCAGCTGGGCCTGCCTGACTGTGATGGTTGGCTCTTACTGCGCAAGGCACCTGGCGGCTTCATGGGCCCACGCTGGCGCCGCTGCTGGTTTGTGCTCAAGGGACACACGCTGTACTGGTACCGCCAGCCTCAGGTGAGCCCTCATTCACACTTGTACAGGAAGCAAGCAAGTCACCCCAGGCCACAGATTTTATTTCTGCTCCACCATCTACTTCCAACTGTTGTCACAGGGGAGTCCTCACATCTTCCCAGGCCCCTGTAGTCCCATTTGTAAAATGGGGGTAGCTCTTAATAGAGAAGTGAGTTCAAACATGTGTAGATGAAGGTTAAAGAGTCTGGGAATATACCTCGGTGGTACAGTATGTCCTTGATATGCACAAGGACATAGGTTAGACCCCCAACAGTAAAAAACAAAAATAAACAAGGTTGGAAATGATGTCACAGAAGATGTAGAGAAGCTCCCATGCCTGTAATTCCAGCACTTAGGAGGCTGAGGGAAAAGGATTCCCATGAGTTTGACACTAGCCTGGGCAACATAGTGAGTTTCAGGGCTGGCCAAGCTATAGAGTAAGACCCTGTCTCAGAAAAAAAAAAGGACCAGTGAGATAGCTCAGTGGGTAAAGGTGCTTGATCTCCAAATCCCCATTATCTAGTAAGCTATCCTTTGACTTCCATATTTGTACTGTGGCTTATACACATACACATAATAAATAAATAAATGTAAAAAATGTTGTCTAAAGAAAATCACTTTTATTCTGCCCACGTCTCCTGATGGGTCACTCAATTTATTGACTCAGCAGACATTCAGGTGCCTACTGGACCCAGTTCTGGGTTAGCTAGTTTTGGTTATATTCAGTTAGTTTCTGCTCCTCTGCAACTTAGAGGTCTGTGGGGGGAAGGGCTAAATATATGCTTTAAGGACAGTGGTACATATACAGGGATGGAGGAAAGCCCAACAGCTATGTGGGAGCCCAGCAGAGGTGTCTGAGCCAGTCCTGAGTTCAGAAGCTTCACTTGAAAGCAATATTTGGGGATTAATCAGATGAAAAAAGGAATCAGACTGAGAAGAAACCGGTGCTGCATGAGGCAGTCGAGTCTCCTGGGGGAGTACATGCGTGAACAGGCTTCTCCTTGGCTGTTTTTCTGGATACTTTTGCTCCCCTTTCCTGGCTTCAAGTCTCCCCTTGGCCACACCTCCTTCCCTGAGCCCCAGAAACCCAAAGACTTGTAGTTAGAGACCAGGAAATATCCTTTCCCTTCCTTTGCCCTCAGGAGCCTGATGGGGTAACTAAGGTAAGTGAGGGAGCTGACTGAGCCTTGAGGGTAAGGGATTCCATGCAGACCTGGGGCTCCAAGCTGATTCTTGTACTATGATCCTCCAGGATGAAAAGGCAGAGGGCCTCATCAACATCTCCAACTACAGTCTAGAAAGTGGACATGATCAGAAGAAAAAATAGTTAAGTCTTGGAATGTGATGGGCTGGGAGATAGGGAGAAAACGGGAGTGGAAAGGTGAGGTGGACATGGGGCAGGTGGCTGGGATTCCTGGTCCAGCCTCTCTGGATTCTGGATGGACATGCCCAGGAAGAGGCTGAGTGGTGCCCCTCCACTACCTGGCAGTGTGTTCCAGCTCACCCATGACGTGTACAAGCCCTTCGTCTTTGCTGCCGATACCCTGTCTGATCTGAGCATGTGAGTACCCGCCTCCTCTTCCCTACTCTCCTGTAGTCCCCGGCATCGGAGTGCTTGGGAGCTAGGGTCAGAAGTCTGGACTCAAACCCTGGCCCTCTCAAGACCTCAGTTTCGCCATCTGTAAAATGGGCAAAGAAGCATTCCTACTTGAGTTGCCATGAGGATCAAATTTGTGGATTTAGGACATGGTGGTTCACACCTCTAATCCTAGCACTTGGGAGACTGATGCAGGAGGATTGTGTGTATGAGGCCACACTGGGTTACATGGTGAGTTTCAGGCCAACCAGAGCAATATAATAAGACACTAACAACAAAACAAAATAGGAAAGATGGCTGAGGCTATAGCTCAATGGTAGAACACTGGCCTGACATATGGGAGCCCCCAGTACCGCATACAAAACAACAAACAAAAATCCCAGAAAAAATATTAGATGTGGGTAATGAAGAGCCTGAGACATAAGTGGGCCTCAGTGAATGGAAACCCCAGGACCAACGTGTTTCTTTACAGGTGGGTACGCCAGCTTATCACCTGCATTTCCAAGTACCAGTCTCCAGGCCAGGCCCCCTCTGCCCGAGAGGAAGGTGGGTATCTCACAGAGTGGGAGAAGGAGGCCAGATGTCACTGAGCCTCTGCCTTTCCTGGACTGGGTGCTGGAATTAAAATCCCCTGGGCCACTCCCTGGCCTCCCCAAACCCACCCTATGGTTCCCAGACTGCTACAGTGAGACTGAAGCCGAAGACCCTGATGAGGAGGCTGGGTCCCGCTCAGCTTCGGTGAGTAGGGATCCCTTTAGGGTGGGAGGTGGGGCTGAATAGTAGGGTGAAGGGACTCGGGCTGATTCCCTCTTCTTCTGCCCTCGCACAGCCCAACCCAGGTCACACTCGGAGTCGTGACACATCGCCTGTGGCCTCCCCCATGCAGCGCAGCCCAAGGACCTCCTTTGGCTCTCTAGCAGGTGCTTCTCTGAGAGCTGGGTGCTGGATTGCAGGGCTGACCCGAGCATTTTCTGATCTTGCTTTTTGCTCCTACAGACAGCAGTGACAGGGCGCTGGAAGGGATGGTGCAGGGGCTGAGGCAGGGGGGGGTGTCCCTCCTGGGCCAGCCACAGCCCCTGACCCATGAACAGTGGCGGAGCTCTTTCATGCGGCGCAATCAAGACCCCCACGTCAATGAGAAAGTGCACCGTGTGCGGGTGTTGCAAAGCACCCTCAAGGTCAGCTGGGAGCAGTGGACACAGCAAGGGATCATTTCTCTAGTGTCTGGGCCCCAGCTCCACTCTGGGCTCCAGAATGCAGATTGAGGACTCTGGGTCCTGGCTCTCTAATTCTGGGGCACATTTGTGGGCTCCATACTCCACTCTGGGTTCAGCTGTAGGCTCAGCCAAGTTGTAGGTTCTGTGTGCTGGGATTGGATATTCACCCAGGCTCTTTGCTGGGTACTGGGTACAGGACTTGGAGTTAGCATTGGACTCTGCCCCTTCCTTAGTGATCATGAATTCTTGCCTTCTCTTCCCACCTCAGGCAAAGCTGCGGGAGCTTCAGGCCTTGGAGGATGTGCTAAGTGACCCTGAGCTCACTGGGGTGAAGTTCCGGCGGTGGAAGGAGCAGAACCAGGAGCTGTATTCAGAGGGCCTGGGGACTTGGGGAGGGCTGCAGGCTGCAGGCATCGCCCCAGCTCTGACCTCTGACCCAAGAGAACAGTCGCCAACGTCCCTGACCTCTGACCCTGAAGAGCCTTCCCAGGTCTTTCCCTTGACCCCAGAGGACAGTCTCCAACCTCTTGACCTCTGACCCTGGCCAGTATCTTGGCTCCTGACATCTGACCCTGGAGACTCCTTTATCTCCAGCCTCTAATGTGTCTAAGCAACATGTCCCTGGGGAGTGTTTGAAGCTGGCAGTAGTATTAGTTCTTGGCTTTACTCCAAATTGATCCCCTGCCTGGGCTTCTATCATTTCCTAGAGCAAAGGAATCTTTGTGCTGCCTTCCTGTCTTGCCAGGAAGAAATTTTCCTGGCCATCCTCGGGTCTGGGGCATGCCTGCCTCCCTTGGAATCTCAGCAAAGTTCCCCAAACCAGGTCTGGTTTATCTTACATGAGAAATGTTTTTCCACCTAATAAAGTTGATTTCTCCAAAATGAACCTATGTGTCTTTGCTTTAGAATTAAGAATCTCAGGGCTGGAGAGATGGCTCAGCAATTAAGAGAACTGGCTGCTCTCGCAGAAGACCCAGGTTCAGTTCCCAGTACCTACCTGGTGGCTCGCAACCATCTGTAACTCCAGTTTCAAGGGACCCAATGCCCTCTTCTGGCCCCCAAGGGCACATGCAGGCAAACACTCATACACATAAAAATAAATAAAACTTATAATTCAGAATCTGCGTTCCCAGATGAACTGGGAGGAAAAACAGTCAGACTAGAGTTAACGCCTTTGGTCACAGGGTGGGTAACAAGCCCTCTGTGCAGCCCATTTGGCCTGAGGTTTGCATCCAAAGCTCCTGTCAGGGTGCTGGGCTCTCTGGTCATGTGCATTCATGCCCATCTCTTCCCAGTCCTTGGAGGTCAGACCTGCTCCCCTATCCCATCCCCAGGGAGGAAGTTTTACTTAGTAGATAAGGGAACAAGGTCAGGTAGGGCAAGGTGGGATAGGTAGCTGGAGGGGAGGGGAGTCCTAGGCATCTCTGGTTTTCCCCTTCACCCAGCTTCACCTCCAGTACCTGGATCCAGAAAAGAAACATTGGCTCACTCCATCCAGGGGGCCTGGGAGTCCTGGCTTACTTCTATCAACCTCTGACCTCTGACCCCATCCTGAAGTCCTTGGCAGAATGCCTGGCTCCCTCTGTGAGGTGCCTGGAGAACAGTGGGAGGAGCTTCTCTCAGGTTGGAATGTCTCCCTGGAACACAGAAGGCTGGAGGTAACGGCTGCTTCTGTGACTTCACCACAAGAGGGGGCGAGACTGCCTGAAGGGAAGTTTCTTTGAAGAGGAGAAAGGGGACAGAGCAAAGATGTCTGAAGAACAAAACTGGTGGCAGAAGTGGACAGACACTGTCAACATCAAACATTTGACCACTGTGGTAGGGAGCACCTGCCTCACTCTGCCACCAAGCTAGCATCATGGGGTGGGCAGGGGCCTTGGATGCACTGAGGGCCTGGCTTCTCTTCTCTCCTGCAGAGAAATGCCTATGAGCCCTTGGGCCGGCATGAGGAGCAAGTGCTCATCAACCGGAGGGATTTCACGAGCAAGAAGGTAAGGAAAATAGGAAGGTGGGGGCAGGCAGGGCTGGGACCAGGTAGGAACCCAACAGAGCCAGTTCCTGAGTCAGACAGGCAAACACAAGTTTACCAATGCATATGCATTACTGAGTGTGTAGTAAATCAAAGAAGGCAATGGAACTCAATCAGGGAAGGCTTCCTGGGGAAGGTGACACTTAAGATGAGAAAATAGGAATTTTCCACAGGGATGGGGAAAGTATCCTGAGCAAAAGAAGCAATGTAGGCTAGGAAGATCACTACCGGTCCCAGCCCTGCCTGCCCCCACCTTCTCAGCTGTATGCCTGGACTCATGTGACTTCTACCCTTTAAATGCTCTCCCTGAGGATCTTCTCTAGCAGCCAGTGACCCCTGAGGTGATCCCTCACAGAAACCCTTATATTGTGATCATCACCCACCAGTAGAGACCCCAGAAGAGACACCCAAAGGTCCCCAACAGTGACCCTCTTTTGGTGACCATGATAGCAGCTTTCTATGAACTCAGGCAGTATCACCCTCAGCAGGGGCTCCCATCCATTCATAGGGTGCAAGTACCCCGTGTAGAGGCCACCTGTAGTGACAGCTGCCTAAAGGAAGGTTTCTGTCCTCTCCCAGGATGCCTGGGATATGCAAGAGTTCATCACTCGCATGTACATCAAGCAGTTGCTGCAACATCCGGCCTTCCAGCTGCTGCTGGCCTTGCTGCTGGTGACCAATGCCATCACCATTGCTCTCCGCACCAACTCTTATCTTGGCCAGGTGGGGTGCTGGCCTGATCTCTGCCCATATGGACTCTGATGAAACGACGTGTTTTCTTCTCAGACCACAGTCTCCTTGTCTGTGTATGATCATTGGACTGGATGCTCTTCAAAAGTCTGTCACTAGCAGGGCGTGGTGGCACATGCCTTTAACCCCAGCATTGGAGAAGCAGGGTCAGGCACATCCCTCTGACTTTGAGGCTGGTCTGGTCTCTATAGAGAGTTCCAGGCTAGCCAAGGCTATGTAATGAGACCCTATCTCAAACAAAACAAAAAAAATCTGTTACCTTGACCTTGCGTGGGATCTGAAGGTCAAAGGAGACTTCATATTGAAGGGTGTTCTGAAGCCCATCTTTGAGGAATGTGCTGGGCTTGCAGAAGGACAGGAAAGCATGTTGTGCACAGTTAGGCAGATGAATGCCTGGTGAGGAACAGCATCTAGTCTTCATGCACAATCTCTAACAGAGAGTCACTCTTGGCCAGGTGCCTACTTTTCTCAAAGCCAAGTCTCCAGGTAGGAACCCAGCAGACCCAGTTGCTGAATCAGACAGGCAAACACACGTTTACCAATGCATGCATGCACATTGGTGCATAGTAAGTCAAAGAAGACAATGGAACTCAATCAGGGAAGGCTTCCTGGAGAAGGCGACACTTAAGATGAGAGGGAAGAATAAATAGGAAGGGGCCAAAGGGATGGGGAAAAGTATCCTGAGCAAATGTAGCAATGAAGCAATGTAGGCAAGGAAGATCATTCAGTGAGGCAAAGCATGTGCCACACAGGCTTGACGACAGAACCCACGTAAAAGCCAGACACGGGTACAGTGTGCATCTGTAATCCCAGCCCTCATGGAGACATGGGAAATGGAGACAGCAGAATCCCCCAGAAGTTCGAGAGCAAGCCAGCCAGCCAGACAAAGCACAGCACCAAAGCACAAGGGAGACCCTGGTCAACAGGGCAGAAGGCGAGGACCGACCCTTGAGGTTGTTCCCTCACCTCCACATTCTCACGGTGTGCATCCACACTCACACTCACAGGCACACCAAACACACACACACCACAAAGATTTAAAAAGAAAGGAAGAAAAGGGAGGGAAGGAGAGAGAGAGGGAAAGAAAGAAAGATTAAAAAAGAAAAGAGTGCTGGACATGGTGACTCACATGGAGGCTCCCAGCACTTGAGAGGCTGAGACGGGAACTGCCGTGAGTTCAAAGCCAGCTTAAGTTACATAGTGAGTCTGAGGCCAGACTGGGCTAAGTGATACCTGTATAAAAAATAGAAAGGATGGCTGGGTGTGGTGACGCATGCCTTTAATCCCAGCACTTGGGAGGCAGAGGCAGGCGGATCTCTGTGAGTTCAAGGCTAGTCTAGTCTACATAGTGAGTTCCAGGGCAGTTGGGGCTACAGGGAGACCCTGTCTCAAAAAGACCAAAAAAAAAGAGAAGGGGCTGGAGAGATGGCTCAGCGGTTAAGAGCACAGACTGCTCTTACAGAGGACCCGAGTTCAATTTCTATCACCCACATGGAAGCTAACAACTGTCCATAACTCTAGTTCCAGGGGATCTGTCAGCTTCTTGCCTCTGAGGGCACTGCATGACACAGGTACACTTACACACATGCAGGCAATACACTCATACACATAAAAATAACAAGGCCAGGCATGGTGGCGCACGCCTTTAATCCCAGCACTTAGGAGGCAGAGGCAGGCAGATCTCTGTGAGTTCAAGGCTAGTCTAGTCTACATAGCGAGTTCCAGGGCAGTTGGGGCTACAGGGAGACCATGTCTCAAAAAGACCAAAATAACAAACAAATAAAGGAAATGAGATTTATTATGTGTGTGTCCGACTTGAATTCCAATATGACCTTGATTTTACACTGCATTTTGGTATTTGACCTTTTTTTCTCCAGTTCTGGGTATTGAACTCGGCCTTGCTCGTGGTAAGCAGGCATTCTTCTATGTAACTAAAACTATCGTCTTTCCTGTGGTCTATTTAGCCCTTCCTCTGCCTACCTTCCCCAAACACTCTACTCTAGAGGTTAGGGTAAATAAAGGTCAACCAACTATGAGCAAATGGAGCCCTAATTCTCCCTCTGTGAAACGAGAAGAAAGGAATCTTCTTTTCAAAAAAGTGTCGATGTTCACACGAAATGGTATGTGAACAGACAGCACAGTGCCTGGTGTGTATGAAGAAACTGTCAACTAAAAACCGCAGAGATGCTAAGGAGGAAGAACAGCAGGGATATGAACCTTCCCTCCCCCCTTCCTCCCCCCTCCCTCCTCTCCTCTTCCATGAACCTCTATCTGGCCTGGTGCAGGCCCTGCTCACTGACACCTGTCACTCTCTTTGTCTTCCATGTAGCAACACTATGAGTTGTTCTCCACCATAGACGACATTGTGCTGACCATCCTGACGTGTGAGGTTTTACTTGGCTGGCTCAATGGCTTCTGGATTTTCTGGAAGGTAAGATCCTAGGACCTCCTGCTGTGGCCCTCAGGTCTCCTTAGGGTCTGCAGTCCATCTAGTTCTTGCCCCCCAAAGTAGCAGTTATATATGGAGAGAGGGGAAAGCGAGAGATAAAAGAGAGAGAGGAGAGAGAGAGAGAGAGAGAGAGAGAGAGAGAGAGAGAGAGAGAGAGGTCTGTAGTAGGACAGAACATAAGTTGTCCAGAAACTGCTGCCACCCTGGGCTCCAGTTCTGTCCCTGCTGTAGCCTCCCTCAGCTCTCTATAGTCTAGCAAACCTTGACTTCTGTATCTGAGAAATGGAATAGAGAGTTATCTAATTTACCAGGTTCTGTCGGGGCTCCATAATCTTTTTCTGCAATATCTCAGATAATATCTTTTAAAAATATTTATTTTTATGTTATTTGTGTGAGTGTATTGCCTGCATGGATGAAAGTGCGCCCATGTCGTGCAGTGCCTGTGGAAATCAGAAGAGGGCATTAGATTCCCCTGGAACTAGAGTTATGGACAGTTGTCCAGGTTCACCCTGTGCTCCTGCCTCAGCTTCCTGATTAATGAGGACTACGTGTTCTATTCCAAGAAGACTTTACTTGTGCTGAGTAGAGTGATGCACACCTATAATCCTAGAGCTCTGGAGGCAGAGGCAAAAAGATCACAAGTTCAAGGCCCGTCTGGGCTAGGTAGTGGAACACTGTCCCCAGGAAGGTTAAAAAAAAAAAAACACACACTCAAAACATTTTATTTGTGGGCCTTGAAATTTGAGTTTCATATAATTTTCACATGTCATAAAATATGCTTCTGATGTTTCCTCTTTCCTGGCTTTAAAATTACCATCTTTTGGGGATGAAATCACTTACCATCTTTTTGGGATGATGTCTCTTTGAGAAGCTTCTCCCAGGCTAGGCTTAGTGGTACTCTGGGTCTCTGTGATTCTATCTACTTATCTCTGTCATGTAGAGTTTAAATGTACTGTCTATCCACCTCTCTCAAAAGGGAGACAAGCAGGGCAGAAATGGTTCAGAGCATGGCATCCAGCAGGAGCTTTATACTGAGTGGATTAGTAAACCAGCTGACTTGGCTGGTCTTGGTTTTTGTTTTAATTTGTGGCACTGGAGATTGAATAAAGAATATGCATGCTAGGCAACTGCTCTTCCACTAAGTTATACCTCCAGCCCCCGCCCCCTTTATTTGGGTCTTTTTTTTTTTTTGAGGCAGGGTCTCCCTATAGCACCAGCTGGCCTGGAACTTGCTTTGTAGACCAGGTTGGCCTTGAACTCACAGAGATCCACCTGTCTCTGCCTCCCAAGTGCTGGGACTAAAGGCGTGCGCCACCATGCCTGGCTCCAGCCCCCTTTTAAAAAACATTTTATTATTATTTTTATTTTATGCATATGGGTGTATTGCCTGCATAAATGTAAGTGCACTTGTGTCATACAGTACCTGTGGAGGTCAGAAGAGGGCGTTGGATCCCCCGGAACTGGATTTAGGATGGTTGTCAGCCATCATGTGAGTGTTGGGAACCAATCCTGGATCCTCTGAAAGAGCAGCCAGTGCTCTTAACTACTGAGCCATTTCTCCAGCCCCCTTGCCCCTTTTTTGTCTTTTTTGGTTGTGAGCCTCAGCCTTTAATGGCTGTGTCATCTCTCCAGGCCCCCAGTCTTCTTTTTATTTTGAGAAAAGGCCTCACTAAGTTTCCTAGGATGACCCTGAACTTACACTACAGCCCAGGCAGGACTTGAACTTGTGACCCTCCTGCCTTAGTCTCCTTAAGTAGCTGATGTTACAGGCTTAGATTCTACAGAAAGCCTGTGTCTTCCTGTGTGTGTGGCACAGACTCTAAAAGGTTAAAAAGATGTGTTTACTGGACTGACACCAACATTTAAGAAGATTTTTCCATTAAAATATAGTTTTTATTGTTGTTGTTTGTTTTGTTTTGAGACAGGGTCTCCCTGTAGCCCCTGCTGGCCTGGAACTCACTATGTAGACCAGGCTAGCTTTGAACTCAGAGATATTGCACCCATGTTGTGCAATACCTGCAGAGGCCAGAAGAAGGTGTCAAATCCCCTGGAACTGGAGTTATGGATGGTTGTTAACCACCATGTGGGTGCTGGGAATTGAACCTGGGTCCTCTGCAAGAGCAGCCAGTGCTCTTAACCACTGAGCCATCTCTCCAGCCCTAAAATATAGTTTTGTTTTGTTTTCTTTTTTTTTTTTTTTGAAGCAGGGTCTCCCTGTAACCCCAGCTGTCCTGGAACTCATTATGTAGCTGGCCTTGAACTCACAGAGATCCACCTGCCTCTACCTCCCAAGGGCTGGGACTACGGGCGCGCACCACCACGCCTGGCGTAGTTTTCTTTTTGAATATTTACTTCAAACATGTATTGACCAAAACCATATTGAAAGGTACACAGAATTCTGGCATCTGTGCCAATCCTGCATGCTCTTGCCTTCACCCTCACGCACTTTAGGGAATCTTCTTATATTTATAGCACCTTGTTTACCCTCCCAGTAGTTATTTTTATAATCCTAAGCAAATAGGTATGTATTTTTAGTCCTCCCTTTTCTGACAGTAACACACTGTAAACATTGCTCTGCCCTTGACTTTTGGTACTTACTGAATCCTGACAATCTTTCTACATGAATACATGGAGATCTTTCTTCTTTGTCTTTTTTAATGATTTTTAAAAAATATTTTATTTATTATTTTTATGTGTAAGTGTGTATTGCCTGCATGTATGCAAGTACATCCATGTTGTGAAATTCCATAGAGGTCAGAAGAGGGTAGAAGATTCCCCTGCCCCTGGAACTGGAGTTATGGACAGTTGTTAGCTGTCATGTGGGTGTTGGGATTCAAACCCGGGTCTTCTGCAAGAAGAGCCAGTGTTCTTCACCGCTGAGCCATCTCTCCAGCCCCATGATTTTTTTTTTATTTCATGTGTATGAATATATTGCCTGCATGTATGTAAGTGCACCTGCATCATGCAATGTCCACGGAAATCAGAAGAAGGTGTCAAATCCCTTGGAACTGGAGTTAGGACAGTTATTAGCCACTGGGATTCGAACCAGGGTCCTCTGCAAGAGCAGTCAGTGCTCTTAACTACTGAGCCATCTCGCATCCATGTGGTGCAATTCCCATAGAAGTCAGAAGAGAGTGTCAGATCCCCTGGAAGTGGAGTTACAGATGGTTGTGAGCCGCCATGTGGGTGCTGGGAATTGAACCCAGGTCCTCTGCAAGTATCTCTTTATGGTTACATGGGACTCCATAAGATATAAGCCATAGCTTATTCAACTAGTCGCTGATCGCTGGGCTCTAGTTGTTTTCAATTAATTTCTCTTCTCTCTCTCTCTCTCTCTCTCTCTCTCTCTCTCTCTCTTTTTCTCTCCTCGCTCTCTGGTTTCTTTCTCTCTTATCTATTACATGTATTTTTTCCTTGGAATCTGGGTAAGTAAGCCCACAAATATCTCTAAAAGCCTGCCACA